TGAACCTGTCCTCCTACGACCTCTTTGTGGTCATGAAAGGTATCGAGTGTGCCATGTATCCCGTTTTGTACCCGACCACGGACTTCACAGATACGGGTATAATGGAGCACTACTATGCCGAGACCCAGGACAGCACGAACCGTGTGGTATCCATCGGCCTGTCTTGGACTCGGAAGGTGCTGTCCAGTGCCCGCGTATATGGCGAGCAGCGGGACCTGCCGTTCTTTCTGTACGAGAAGCACTTGGCGAACAAGTATTTCAATGCACAAGTCCGTGCCAAGAGCCTCGGCGTCACTGGGGATGTCATGTCTCGGGACTCGCAGGCGTCTACGGGGTATTGGGAGATTGTGCAAGACTCCCTCGCTGATCTTGTGCGTATCATGCTCGTGCGCTGCTACGACGAGAAGAATTATGAGGCCCTGTATCAACACTGCCGGAATCTTCGGGGACAGGTCTGGCTGTGCGCGTTTCCGAACTTGTTCATCACCATCGCGCCCGCGGAGTGGAAGTTCCCGAGGCCGTATTTCATGGAGCCGTATCGTCGCTGTATTTTTGCTGGTGCGTATATGATGTCACTTCATATGTACTACCTGGTTCGCTGTATCTGGCTGTTCCTGGCGAACCGCTGGGGCCACAAGTACTTCATCGTTTACGAGTGGTGTATGAAGACCGAGTACCAAGGCCGTGGCACCCCGCACTGGCACATCTGCGCGTGGGTTGTATGCTTTGGGCTGTTGCAGTATCTCCAGGGGCGCACCGGGACGGCTGTCGTGTCGGCTTTCGTCAAGTTCCTCTCGCTTGTATTCTGCGCCGAGATAGATGTTCAGATAGGCAACGGCCGGCTCAACTACATTTCAGGGTATGTCGCGAAGGACCACGATGCCGTCGACGTCGGGCTCGGCGAGTATGTGCAGAAGAATGCGAACAGCTCCTGGCTGACCGCGTATCGCTTGCTCAGCAAGAGCAGCCCGTGCCTGCCGGAAGTGGCCATCCGTTTGGCGCAATTGTCGGAGTTTGAGCGGTCCTACTCTCATGTATTGCTGTATCCACCGCAGCCGGCAGCCATGGTGAATTACGACGGGCGGCAGGGTAACTTTTCCTCAAGGATGTATGGCTTTTACCTTCAGGAGAAGAGGGAGCAGCTGGTCGCAGGGGTTCCCGTATCGGAGAGTTTCTTGGTATGGCACCGTGGCAGGGAGTATGATTCCTGCAACCACTGCGTGCATTTTCGTGGTGGCCGACATAATCAAAGGTATGAACCTACGCAAGTGGTCGCCTGCAGGTATTGGTACGAGCTGACGGACGGGTACTGGGGCCAGCATTCACTCACTATGCTGCCACATGTATACGCTTCACAATTACTCCCTCGGACGTTCAAACATCTGGACAGTATGAAGAATTTCGTGGGCATGATCGAGTATCTCATGTCCTGGACTTGGTCAGGCACTGTTGGTATCGTGGAGACGTCGTGTGATCTCAAATTCCACACTCAAGCGCTGCCGATGCGAGTGGGCGATGATGGCCAGATACTCACATTCGGCTCTGAGTATACTGCAGGAGCGCCTGTATTTGATAATGACAGGGCAGCATTCGAGTATCTGCTCTCGCTGGCCCGACGCGATCTGCAATTTCGCGGTATGCGCGATGAGCGTGTCGGCTGCTTTGAGCAGAAGCAACACGCGAATTTTCTGCTGTATCAGCGTGTTGCTCGATGCGATAACGAGCCAGAGTATGAGTGCCTTCGGCAGGAGTGGGATACCTTGAACAGGCCGAAGTATCAGCAGCGCACGTGGAGCCCAGAGCAGGCTGATGTCATCGAGCGGGTCAAGAAGGCTGTATCGCTGGAGGACGAGGAGGAGAAGCAGAACAGCAAGCGTTTCTTGTATATCTCTGGCCCGCCCGGCAGTGGGAAGACGGCAGTATTGTTGGAGCTGGCCATTTGGGCATGTGAGTCTCTGCAGGTTTTGATCGTGTGCCCCACTGGGTATCTCGTGCACCAGTACAAGTCCAAGCTGCCCGACAGACCCGGTATCGAGAATATCCGAGTGGACACGATACAAGGAGTCTTGAAGTATAAGAGGGCCGGCAAGGACGGCAAGGTCCGCTGGGCCCCACCCTCGGCTTTGAGAAGTATTGATTTGATTCTTTGCGATGAAGGCAGCCAGTATGAAGACCAGGAATGGATGCGGTTCTTTGCCTCGGTGCGGGAGCAGCCGCACAAACCCTTCACTGCTATCGTGGCCGATTTTAAGCAGTTGCAGCCAGTATTGAGCGGGGGCCAGTGCGAACACTTTTGCAACCAAATGGACAAGGTCGACTTGAAGACTGTGTATCGCACCGCTGACAAGCAGCACTTGGTTTTCCTGAATCGTATACGTGAGTGTCAGCCAGATCGAGGGGTTTTGACTGAGTATTTTCGAGACCGCCACTGGCATCATGAGTGCTTGGAGGCCTGTGTTGAGCGCGGTATGGCGTTGGCGGCGGAGAAAGGGCATCCGTTTTCTTGGCTCACGTGTACGAACGCGGGCTCGGCGGAGGTATGCAGAGCGGCGCTGGCATTACTCGGCATTAGTGAGGCCGATCTGAAAACGGGTGGGTATTGCGACCCGACCACGAAGTCCGACTTACGCATTCTGGCCAGACCTGGTATCGTCATTCGCCTGAGTCGGAACTTTGACAAACAGCGGGGCTTTGTGAATGGGGCGTTGGCCACGGTATGCGAGTCGCTTCGTGGAAACTCAGTGTTTACAGCCAGGCTGGTGGGTACGGGCAACATGGTATTGGTGCACCCCATCGAGGAGAACGGAGAGGTATTCCTGCCTTGCTGCTACGGGTATGCGACCACGGTGCGTCGAGCGCAGGGCGCGGATCTTTTTCACGGCTGTGTATATTTTGAGCAGAAGAAGAGAGTGGCTACGAGAGGGTATGGCTACGTTGCCTGCAGTCGCTTCAAGTCTCGCGAGGGCTGCCATGTATTCGGCAAGCTCCGCCGCAGTGACTTCCTGCCGGCTGGCCCCGAGCAGGAGGGCGAGATTTTGGAGCGCGGGTATGACTCTGTATCGTCATCCGACGACGAGGGGAAAGGCATTGAGTATGCTCTTGCAGATCAAGGTGAGTATGACGCGGACCCTGTTGTATCCATGGACATGGGCAACAACCTCGTGGATTTCTTCGTGAACACAGAGGATCCGGCAGATGTATCCCGGACTGAGTGCAAGCGTACCCTTGCAGACTTTGCTGCAGGTGCCAGTGCGGAGGCTGGCGATGCTCCAGTGTATGAGGAGATGGGCGTATGCAGTGAGCTTCCAGTGAGGGAAGAAGTGTGGGGCGAGAACGGCGAGCTGCTGGTATACGGCGGCACGGCGACGCCGGAGTGATCAATGTCGTATGGACCTGGACGTCGACCAAAAAAAATCAGGGCACGCATGTATCATCTGCATCGAGCATCGTGGCGGCAACAAATTTGCCCCAAAAATGTGACCACACGGTGTCTCTGTATCATGTCTGCCATACGCATCATTGGTAAAATGTGTGAGTATCATGTGCAATGAGTCGTACTCTGAACAATTGCATGTGAGTCAGAATCTGCGTCCACCATGTCTACGATATCATATGAAACGTGTATCAAACACTCCATGGCATGTGAGCTAACATTTGCCCCAAATATGTGACCAACTTTTGGTTTTGTGTTTGTCCACATCTGCAACATGCATATATGTAGCGATCGGTATGTGAGGCTGCCCCCAAAATGTGAGCAACCTCGCCAGATTTTTTTCATGTATATTGTTATCATGTGATGCCCCAAACATGTTATGAACTTCTTTGTCTATGCATGTATGCGGCTAACATACGTATCAGATGCAACATATGCGCGCAATGTATGTGAGCCACACTTTGCCCCAAAAATGTGACCAACTGCTCTGGCTAATGGTTAACATGCGTATCCTGTGCAATAGGTCTACATGTAACCATGGCATGTGAGCCAAAAGTTGCCCCAAAAATGTGACCAACACTTGGTTTGCCTCGTATATTCTTCTGCAACATGTATCAGACGGCTCTGCAAATCTACACGACTTGGAATATCCATATAAGAACAAATAGGACATCAATGCGGTCTCGGGGGCATCAAAACAATGTTCAGTAAGCCTGGCTTTGTCGCATGTGCGGCGGCGGACTTCAGTGCCCTGGGGCCACCACAGGTTGGGGTATCACAGGCTCTTTGGGGCCACCACAGGTTGGGGTATCACAGGTATCACAGGCTCATTTGCAATAAGCATGTGAGCGACTTTAGTTTGTCTGGTATACGCCTATGCGACATGTGTTACACGGGTCTGCAAACGTATCATGGGCACTGTGTATGAGATCTACCATCTCGAATTGTGGTCTCCAGAGAAAAAAAAAACAAGAGGATATCAGTGAGTCTCCGGGGTGACAAAAACTGTGATATCAGTATGCCTGGCTTTGGTTCATGTGCGGCGGCGGACTTCACAGGTCGTTACTGGCCGTATTCGGGCCCTCACCGGCAGTCTGCGCTTCGCCGAGGGTTTTCCTCGAAACCATCACCACCACCATCATCATCACCTCCCCCATAGGCACTTTGGCTCAAGAGGGGGGTATTCTTGGCCACGTATAGCCTTGTCATGGAGTCCGCGGGCTATCTCTTTTTGCTGTCTTTCCTGTTACTGCGTTTTACCAGAGGGCAGGCTGGAGTACCTGTCGTATGCGATTACATTTTGGATCAGTGGAGCGTATTCGTGCACGACTTCGATGCTTTCTGTTTGGGACTCGTCCGTCACTGCGAGGCAGTATGCAAAGAAAAAGGGTGCTCGTATTTAGCCCATCGAGAAGGCTTGCATACTCAGTATTCCGGCTTGCACTTTATCCGTACACTTCGCAGGGTTCGTATACGACGGCGGCTTGTCGCATTTGCGGAGAAGTGGGCGCACTTAGCATCGGGGCTTCAGCGTCCCCGTGGCCATGGTATCCCCAGCGCGGACATCATGGCCATGGGGGACAGTATCCCGGACTACGTGGCCGTGGCCGTGCAGAAGAACAAGGTGAAGATGGCCGGTAAGTATAACAGCATGGACTGTATGAGGTGTTTTATGCACATGGTTGAGTATTGCATGGGCTTCACGCCTACGGAGTATACCGAGGAGCTGCATGAGTGGTTTCTGAAGCGGCAGTCTCGGAAGTGGGCACGCCATGCTGCTGCGGAGATCGCGTATTTTGGCGTGGTTTCCTGCGACACAATGACCACAGCATTGGGTCGTATGAGGAAGGCTCTCAACGGCACGTCTCAAGTGAGCGTCGCGACCATGTATGTATTGTTCTGCGAGACGCGGCAGGCTATCAACAGGTATTCGTTGCATGGTGTTTGGTATCTCATACACGCGTATGACAAGAGCAAGTCTGTGCGGGCAAATGTTTCGCGTGTCCGGCCTGGGCTAGTATCGACGCGTTGTCACACAATACAGCTTTTGGAGGCGATCCGCAGCTGTGTGGGAGTATCGCTTTCTGTGCTGCGGATCTCGGGAGGTGGCGTATCAGGCGGTGGACCTTGCGAGGTGGCGTATCAGCTCGGTCGGCGCCGTCTGTGTCCCAAGGTAGAATCTGATGGTATTCCTGAGCTCCGTGTGCTTAGGAGTTGTCTCAGCGTACTGACACAGAAGGTGCAGATGTATGCGAGGCAGCCTTGGCAGCAGTACCGCGGCTTGGTCAAGGCCGCCAAAGGTCTGGGTATCAAGTACGGGAAGTCGCATACGGTGAAGAAGCTCGCTCTGCTCGTGAAGCGAGGTATGCTGCAGCCTTCAGGCACCGGTGCGTGCAAACGGACGTACCGGGATCTGGTATCCGCAGCGCACGCTCGCGGCGCCAGCGAGTATCAAAGAATTAAAGTGCACGGAAGGTGGATCACCAGACGTGTATCCAAAGCCACGTTGGAAGCGCTGGTGGCTGAGCTCTAGGGGCGGTGCTCAGTTGTATAGGGCATTGTGGCAGACTTTGGGGTCACGCAGATGTGTATGACAGAAGAGCCACGGCGGCGGCGGCGAGGGTGACGGCGGCGACGGCGACGGCGACGGCGACGGCGACGGTGACGTATCGTCCTCAGCTTCAGCACCAGCCTGCCTCAGCGTCGGCCTCAGCCTGTCTCAGCCTCAGCCTGCATCAGCTCAGCGTGTCCCAGCCTCAGCCTGCTCCAGCTTCAGCTTCACCCTCAGCCTCGGCCTTAGTCTGCGTGAGGTTTGCTGTCATGTTTATCATACGTTCAGTGTGCTATACGTATCATACATGACACGGGGATGTGTGTCAAAACGTGCCCCACAAATGTGACCAACTCTGGTGTGTATGTCTCTCATGGCTAGCAGACGTATCATGTGCAATATGTATCATGTGCAACACGGCTCACGTGGAATATGTGCTCCGAGGACTTTCCCACGGAATCCCCAGACCCATCTGGGTATCTTGGGATGAGCTCCCAGGTCTCTGTGGTTACGTATTCTCTTTAGGCCTTCGGCCCCAGCCGCCAGAGCTCTCTGGGTATCTGGGGGGGTCTCATTGCCCGATCGTCTTAGTGTTTGTAACCCGATTCCCAGGGGAAGTTTATGAGGGCGTCTGGGGGGTTCCCTGGGGAGTTCTCTGGATCTGCGGATTCACATGAAAAGATGAAGTGAGTATGCCTGCTTTGGTCGCATGTGCGGCGGCGGACTTCGTCTCGCCAACGGCGCTCGCATGAGTGTTCTGCGTGTCGTATGGACCTTGGCATTTGGGTGCATGCGGTTCGTTTCTGTTTGTACGTAGCGGTTTCTGCTCAAGCCGCTTACTGTATATCGCGAGATCGTATTCACTTCCATATTGCCGGCCTTCCGTATGGCTTCCCAGATGGCCGGTCGGCTCGACCCCGTCACGGGCGAGTATTACCCAAGCGATGATGAAGTGCGCTGCAGTATGGAGCGCTGGCACACGCCACCCAACGACGAGGCGTATGCGCGGCAATGGCTGAAGCAGTGTGGCTCCGAGAGGTGGTTCGCGTGCGGTATCTTCTTCCCTATTGTGTGGGAGGGTGTCAGGGGCGTATGCCTCGCCGTATCGAGCGGTATGTCAACGAGGCTGTCGAAGACGAACAACGACCCGAACTACCAGCACAGTAGGGGGGGCATCCCCGAGCCGGATTGGGTATACTTCGAGGCCTTCTTCTACGCGCACGCGGTATTCGGGAATGTCGCGGTATTCCAGGATAAGAAGCTTGGGAAGCCCATTGGCTTCCTTCTGGACGTATTCGACACGCTATGCACCGGGCGAGGTATCGTCGCCTGGAAAGCCCACCTCTTCATCCACCCGGGCCAGTGGATGTATAGCAGTATGCGGTATTTGCTCGGTCAGCTCGATATTCCCATTCACGCGGAGATCGTATCCGGCCTCTCGTACAGGGCCCTCGCCACCTTGGACGTATTCATTGCGTATCACACGGCCTTCATGGGTACGGACCCGCCGTTCATGGCCCTTTGGAACGTATCCCATGAGGTCGGCCCAGAGATAAAGTATCCGCGTCAAGACCAGTGGTGGTGGTTGCCCGTATGGCGGTGTGTCGGTCAGAGCGACGAGTATCCGAACATGCTCGATTACCCGCTCTTGCCGGCGCATGTCGTGGCCGCGTTCGCAACGCCGTATGCGAGCCCCGACTCTCCCGCCAGCAGGCGCATGGCCAATATCATTGGCCATTTGGGCCGTGTATCCAAGCGTTTTCGCGACGTCGCAGAGGACGAGTCGCCTTAGTATGCTTCGTCTACATTCATAGTGCCAGTGGACCTGTTTGCGAAAGCAGGAGAAAGTATGAGCATTGCATGCGTCATCCTTGGGGCTCCAAGGTGGCTCCAAGAGACCCCCAAGATGGCCCCCAAGATGGCCCCAAGAGGCGCCCATGAGGCCGCAAGAGGCGCCCAAGATGGTCCCAAGAGGCCCCAAGAGGACTCCAAGAGGGCCCCAAGAGGTTCCAAAGAGGCTCCAAGTTGGCTCCAAGAGGCCCCCAAGATGGCCCCAGGAGGCGTCCAAGCGGCTCCCAGAGTCTTCCGGGAGGATCCAATAAGCCCCCAAGAGGCCCCAACATGGTTTCAAGAAAGCCCCCCAAAGCCTCTCAAGAGGACCCCATGCGGCGCCAGGAGGCTTCCCCCCTCGGGGCCCAAACAAGTGATCAACCTCTGCGGGTGTGTACTCCACGCCAGTGTAGTATCCACGATCGTCCGCGCGCCACGAAGTGAAGTGTCCTGACGTCATAGGGCGGGAAGCTGGGTGTGGGTGGTTCCCGAGAGTCGTGTGGATGTTTGGTAGAGCTTGCATTGCCCCCCCACGAAGTGGGGGTATTGGCTGGCGTCGCATGAAAACCCTGGCACTGGGGAGAACACTGAGCGTTCGGGTAAAATGATTGTTGTTGTTGTTGTTGTTGTTGTTGTTGTTGTTGTTGAACATTATTTCTTCTTAAGAATAATTATTGTTGGGACCCCTGGTGCACGGCCCCCCCGCCGCGCCTAGGCCGCAGCTACATTTTCATCATTTTCGTGAGGAAGTCTCAGGCAAAACGATTGTGTCCGGATCCGGTTGTTTTGTTCCCCCCGCTTTCCCTTGTAAAAAATACTATAAAATGAAAATTCTTGTTCTTACTTGATCAAATTGCAAGAATCCCTTGCAAAAAATAAGGTAAAGTGGACATTCGTGCGCGCAAGACGAAATCCTTCCAAAACCTTAGGTTTCGTAACGTTTTTAACATAAAAACATCAAAAACCCAATGGTTTTTTAAGAAAAAATTGTCAAAATGTTCTTCCGCGCGCTCTTGCGGATTCCTAGGAAAACCAACACTTTTTAAACAATTCTGTTAAACGGTCTTTTGCGAGCAACTTTTTCGAACTTCTGCGACAACGTTTGCGCATCTGCCAGGGCCATCATCCCTGTCAAAAAATATTATGCGGGACATATTCGTTTTTTCTTCGCGCCAAAAATGTGACCCAGGACGATCTCAGGAACTCAGGAACTTGCCCCAAAAATGTGACCAACTCCGCTCTCTCTGTCTCTCTCTCTGTCTGCTCTCTGTCTCTCTCTCTGTCTGTCTGTGTCATGTATTGTATGTCACAATTGCAGGATGCTGGGCACACGCGCGCCCCGAATAAGTGACCAAGTTCTGTGGGTGTGTACCCACGCCAGTGTAGTAGCCACGGTCGTCCGCACGCCACGAAGTGAAGTGTCCCAACGTCATAGGGCGGGAAGCTGGGTTTGGGTGGTCGCGAAGAGTCGTTTGGATATTTGGTAGAGCTTGAACTGCCCCCCCACGAAGTGGGGGTATTGTCTCGCGTCGCATGAAAACCCTGGCACTGGTGAGAACACTGAGCGTTCGGGTAAAATGATTGTTGTTGTTGTTGTTGTTGTTGTTGTGGTTGGTGGTGTTGGTGTTGTTGTTGCTGTTGTTGTTGTTGTTGTTGTTGTTGTTGTTGTTGTTGTTGTTGTTGTTGTTGTTGTTGTTGCTCTCTCTCTCTCTCTCTCTCTTTTTCTCGGCTCCTCCCAGTTGCTGCGGGCGGCCCCTCTGCTGCCGACCCCGCAGCCGTGGCTCGCCCCACTGTCCTCCGGGAGGCCCTCCCGCTGCTCCGCGGCCTCCCCGAGCGACCCCGTTCCCTTCCTCGCGCCGCGCAGCGCCGCATCGGCGCGCACCTCATAGAGATCCCCGGGATCCACGGGACCATGTGCCCCGCCCGCCGCCCCTCTCGGGGGCGGCAAAGAGGGGGCAGGTGACCAGGGTGGGGGGGGATATCCTGGCGGGGGCCATGATATTTCCACAGATTTCATGGCGCCTCTTCTTGTTTGAATACGTCCCCGGCCCCCCCCCCCGGGCCGCGCACATGCCGCCGGCCATGATTTGCACCCCCCCCCCCCTGGGACGCCCCCCTCTTTGCCGCCCCCGACACGCGCCGCCCTTCGCGCGCCTGTCTTTTCCGCCGCGCGCGCGCGGTGGGGTGGTGCCGGCGGCGAGGAGGAAGGGGAGGGGAGAGACAGGCGCGGGGGAGGGAGAGAAGGATGCGGAGGATGGAGACTTTTTGGACGTTTCCGACGCTCACCCCCAGAGGCCTGTGGTGGCTTCGGGGGGACCTCAGGAGGATTTCGGGGACGTCCAGAGGCTTCCGCGGAGACCGACCATCCGAGGACCTGCAGCACCTCACCTCCGGGGGGCCCCAGGGGAGCTCTTCTTTTTAGTTGCTCTCTCTCTCTCTCTCACTCTCTCTCTCTCTCTCTCGCTCTCGTTATAATCCATCGTCCAGTTTTTTCTCTCTCTCCCTCTCTCTCTCTCTTCTAAGTCATCCCTTTCCTTCCGAACCCTCTTCTCCCCACCTTGGCGTGCAGTTTGGTAAGGTATCCCACGGTCTTACATTAGCCGACCTGCCCTGAACCGTCTCTGGCGGGTTATTTCCCGCAGACTCTTGGATTGGGAGGACAGCATGAACAGGAGGTAAGAGGGGCAACGGATGAGGACCAGGAATCTCAGGGGAGCGAAGGGTACGCTTGACATATTGCTCGCACTGTCGGATCATCCTGCAGCATGGTGATGTCCCTAGACATCGGCATCACCTGCGTTGCCACACTCGGGCCCGAACATGTCTCCGGATGGGAACATGCTTGTGATGTCGTTGGGAGGAGAGCAGACGGTTTTCCAAGAAGGAGGGGGAGAGCTATGGCGTCCCTTAGGACATCCAATATCTAAGATCGACTTCACTGAACTCCTGCTGCGCACTGCTGGTGGCCAACTCTGGAAAAGCCCGCCTGCCTCCGGAATCGGCAATCGGAGACACTAACCCCCCTCTTTGGCGCTGCTGAGCTCCCTCCTTATCGTTGGCATCAATCCTTCTAATTGCCTCAACGTGAGCTTTGTACGTGCAGGGGAGGCGGGAGGAGGAGGCGGAGGACAGGCACCTTGAGTGGATCCCAAATCCTGCGATCGTATCGACGTGTGCTGCTCGGACTCTTCCTGAGTCCGTGACTCTTCTGCTCAATCCTTCTTTTCAGGCTGGGGAACTTTGCCGGATCTCCCAAAACGCTGGGATTCCTAGCACTCCGAGACACTGCCAACTTTGGCCCGATTGACCGTACAAGCTCGTTATCTCGTTGTATATGGTGGCTCTGCCTCGGCATGTGATCCTGCCGATTGCACGATCAAGTTCGTTATCTCATTGTATATGGTGGCTCTGCCTCGGCATGTGACCCTGGGCACACCTCTGTTGCAAAAGCTACATGAAACATCATCGCCTTGGCAATGGAAGTGCACATTCTAGGCGGATAAACCTCCTTGGTGGAGGTGCGAAATTCTGCGCTTTCATTGTTGCCAATGAGCGACACGGGCTGCTCTCGGGTGGGAGCAAAGCCCTTTGCCTGGGGTGTCCTGCAAATGATCTCGCATGGCTGGCTCGCACTGATCCGATGTAATGGAATCTGTGGCTGGTGCTGCTCTGGCTGCCTGGAGTGGCTTGAACGACCATCTGGGAACTGCTTGCGGGCGCCTGTCTGCAAGCGCTCGATGCTCCAGCCATGCTGCTGCTCCGCACGCGAATGCTGCCATGAGAAGTCGAGCGGTGGCCTGTCATGACCGGTCGCCTGCTTCCAGCTGCATGTGCGCTTGTCGGCTCTCGAGCGGCGGCGGGCCTTCCTCCGGCCAGCGAGCGGCCGAGATAGCCTCACAGGATGGCCCGCATCCTTGTCACTGCGATGCTCCCAGCCACGATGTGTAGTTCCCAGAGGTCAATTGCAGGCCGATGTGAGGAATCTCCTCTTACTGCTTTTTGACGTCGTCCAAGCTGAAAACCCACAGGGCCAAACTCGGAGTGCACTCGTGCGCGAGGGTTTCAACAGCATCCTGCGCGTCTCCTGGTCGACGCATGCCGCTACACGTGTTAGCAATGAAGATCGTTTCCTCCTAAGTGGATCAGGGTAGTGGTGTAGGATCATGCAGGAGGAGGAGGAGGAGAAGAAAGGGGGAGGGAGGGAGGAAGGGCCCAGGGAGGGAGCAGAGGGAGAAGGAAGGAGAGGGAGGCTCCGGGAGGCGCGCCCTGCGCCGCGCCCTCGCACGCGGAGCCGAGCGCGAGTCGCTCGCGGCCGGCGGGGCGCTCGCGCGGCGTTCGCAGGGGGCGCCCCCGCTCGCGCGGGGCGGCGCCGGGATGGGCGGCGCCGCGCGCGGCACGCCGAGCCGGGCGCCGGGGCGCGGCGGGCCGCGGCGCCGGGGCGCGCAGGCCGCCAGATCGCCGTCACGCCTTTGGTCGTCGGAAGTGGAGGAGGAGGAGGAGGAGGAGGAGGAGGAGGAGGAGGAGGAGGAGGGGGAGGAGGAGGAGGAGGAGAAGGAGGAGGGCGAGGAGGAGAAGGAGGAGGAGGGCGAGGAGGAGGGGGAGGAGGAGGAGGGCGCCAGATCGCCGTATCGTTTAACTGTTCTTTCATCCCCATCCCCATCCCCTTCGAGACTTCCACGAAATTACCACCCCGGTTGGGGATGCACCCCTCGAAACCCAAAGGAAACGGCCTATATCCCCATCTAGGTGGGTAAATCGGCCAGTGGGGCCCCCTCTGATTCGCCTCCGCCACAGTGGATGTGGGCCTCATCTGCATTCCTGCATTCCTTCAATTTCTCTTCAGAGTCCCAGGCGTTGTTCCTGTTGTTGGATCATTTCCTTCCTAGCCTGGTACCCTGGGCCCTCGGTCATTCTGTACGTCTGCCACAAAAGAACATCTTCTTGAGGCGAATTACTAACGTATTCCTTTGTCGGAGTCTTACACCATGATAATAGTGTGGCGGATAAATGGGACTGAAAGAGAGAAAGAGAGTGAGAGAGAGAAAGAAAGAGAGAGAGAGAGAAACAAATATAGAAATAAAGAAACAATAATCAATAATGAGAGAGAGAAAGAGAGACAAAAGAGAGAAAACAAGACAGCAAACAAGAACGGTAGCGCGAGACAGCTCCCCAAATAGTCCCAGATGTCCCCCCTCACCCCTCCCCCATCCCATCAAGGAAGGATGCGGCGCGCTGCTACGCGGCGCCAGCCCGGGCGCTTGCGCCGGCCTTAGTTCCCTTCCCGATCTGGCGATATTATTTTTCCTGCTTATTGCTCTTCCTCGTCCCTGCCTCGTTTCCTCCTGCCCCCTCTCCTAAGGCCTCCTCCTGCCTTCCCTGCCTTCTCCTCTTCGTCGCTCCTGCATCCTCCTCCCTGCCTCCTCCTCTCCCCCTGCCTGATCTCCTCGTCCTCATCGTCCTCACTCCCATTCATGCCATCTTCCTGCCGCCCTGATATTTCCCTCTCTGCGCCGCTCAGACTTGAAAGCTCTTACGCCCGCATGCCCCCTGCTGCTACGTAGCCTGATTTCGGATGCAGACAACTATTTCCGTGCCTCCTTCTTTTCCGGGAAATATGTATCATGTGTTTTTGGTTGTGTTGGTGTTCATGCATCCGTTGTTGTTGCATCCGTGACTGTTTCTCGCCGTTCTAATCAACGTCCGCGTTCTTTTCATTATCGTTCACATTCGCGTGTTCGTTTTGTTGATACTCCTCCCCTGGACTCCTCTTCACTTACAAAGCATTGTCTATCTCTCTCTCTCTCTTTCATTATTCTCTTTCTGCTGAACGGTTGCCTGCAGCGGTGTTCTTTTTTTGTTCAGGCTTGGCAGGAGGGAGGACCAGGAGGAGGAGGGGGGAGGAGGAGGAGGAGGGATAGCGAGGGGGAGGAGGAGGAGGAGGAGGAGGAGGACGAGGAGGAGGAGGACGAGGAGGAGGAGGAGGAGACGGAGGAGGAGGAGGAGGAGGAAGAGGATGAGGACCAATGTATACCCAAGAGGTATCAACGATGTTGGAATAATCCCCCTCTCCAAGCTCCCTCTTCACAAGCCCCTGCAACGATTCATTTCCACTGAGGGAACTGCCTCGTTGGAAGTCAACCGTGTGAAGACCTTGAAGCATGCCAAACCATTGTTCTCCGGATTCCAGCGTCACGGATCAACCGGAATGTTGCGTTTTGACGAGTTTGAGTCGTGCCACATCGCCATTCTTGAGATTTCAACACCGTGAGTCAACGTGACTGCTGCACCGTCATAACTTTGAATCATCCCAATCCGCCATGTCTGGTACGTTGATCATGGGAATCCATGAAGCTCTTGCACATGTTCAAAACGAATGTGCGCGGCGCTAAGGCGAGAGCCACATTCTCAAAACGAACCGCCCTCAATCCGTGAAAATCTTGCATAGTTCAGAAGCGAACGCACGCGGGGCTAAGGCGAGAGTCACATTTTGAAAACGACCTGCCCTAAACCCGTGAAACTCTCGCATGTTGTTTAACGGATCTGCGCGGGGCTAAGGCGAGAGCCACAATTTGAAAACGACCCGCCCTCCATCTGTTAAATTGTTGCCAGTCTTTCAGCTTCAGGGTCATAAATGGTTCGGAGGTCTCAGGCGAAACGCCTGGCCCGCCCTAAAAACAGGCCTCGGGGTGCGACAGGGAGAAGTTATTCCCCATATCCAAAGATGGGGTTCTTGTTATTGGCGGACCGCGCCGGAAGGACACAGAACAGGACAGAACACCACACCCATCACTCAGACACACACGTGAGTTATTCCCCATATCCTAAGATGGGGTTCTTGATTCCCCATATCCAAAGATGGGGTTTTTGATTCCCCACTCACTCATCACTCAGACTCACTCATCAAGACTCACTCATCACTCAGACTCAGTCCTCACTCAGACACACCACTCATCACTCAGACTCACCACTCAGATTCACTCATCACTCAGACTCACTCATGCTCTCTCATCACTCAGACTCAGTCATCACTCAGACTCAGGCGATTCGCTCGTCTCAGCAATCTAAGGGGGGCGGCGGGGGGGTATTTCACGGGGTCCCGTTCGCGGAATTTTGTGGGGATGTCTCAGGCGGTTTGGCCATTTTCTGATCCAACATGTTTCGTTTTCGGAGCAGATTTGGAGGATGTCTCAGGCGATTCGCTCGTCTCAGCACTCTAAGGGGGGCGGCGGGGGGGTATTTCACGGGGTCCCGTTCGCGGAATTTTGTGGGGATGTCTCAGGCGGTTTGGTCATTTTCTCTTCCAACATGTTTCGTTGTCGGAGCAGATTTGGAGGAAGAGGAGGAGGAGTCAGGAGGAAGAGGAGGAGGAGGAGGAAGAGGAGGAGGAGGAGGAGGAGGAAGAGGAGGATGATGATGATGATGATGATGAGGGGGAGGAGGAAGAGGAGGAGGAGACTGGGGAGGAGGAGTTATTGGCGGACCGCGCCGGAGGAGATAGAACACACCACTCCTCTCACTCAGACCCACTCACTCATCACTCAGACTCACTCATCACTCAGACCCACTCATCACTCAGACTCACTCATCACTCAGACTCACTCATCACTCGGACTCAGTCATGACTCACACTCATCACTCATCACTCAGACTCACTCATCACTCAGACTCACTCATCACTCAGACTCACTCATCACTCAGACTCACTCGTACTTGTACTCATACATTCACTACACTCACTCAGGTCCACTCACCGGATGACTCACACAACACACACACACACTGATGTTGAGGATGTCTCAGGCGATTCTGTGGCTTCAGCACTCCTAAGGGGAGCGGCGGGGGGGTATTTCACTCGGCCCCTTTCGCAAGATTTTTGTGGGGATGTCTCAAGCGGTTTGGCCATTTTCTCTTCCAACATGTTTCGCTTTCGGAGCTGTTTGCGAAGATGTCTCAGGCGATTCGCTGGTTTCAGCACTTAAGGGGCGGCGGGGGGGTATTTCCCTCGGCCCCTTTCGCGGGATTTTGTGGGGATGTCTCAAGCGGGTTGGCTATTTTCTCTTCCAACATGTTTCGCTTTCGGAGCAGATTTGGAGGATGTCTCAGGCGATTCGCTGGTTTCAGCACTCTAAGGGGAGCGGCGGGGGGGTACTTCACTTGGCCCCTTTCGCTGGATTTTGTGGGGATGTCTTAAGTGGTTTGGCCATTTCTCTTCCAACATGTTTCGCTTTCGGAGCAGAGTTGGAGGATGTCTCAAGCGATTCGCTGGTTTCAGCACTCTAAGGGGAGCGGCGGGGGGGGGGGGTCACTCGGCCCCTTTCGCGGGATTTTGTGGGGATGTCTCCGGCGGTTTGGCCATTTTCTCTTCTAACATGTTTCGCTTTCGGAGCAGAGTTGGAGGACGTTCGCGCCCAATTTGCGGGGATGTCTCAGGCGGTTTGGCCGTTATGATGCTGGGCATCTGTCGTTTTCGGAACAGTTTTGGGAGGATGTCTCAGGCGAGTTGCTGGTTTCAGCACTCCCAAGGAGGAGGAGGAGGAGGAGGAGGAGGGGGAGGAGGAGGAGGAAGAGGAGGAGGAGGAGGAGAAGGAGGAGGAAGAGAAGGAGGAAGCGAGGAGGAGGAGGAAGAGGACGAGGAGGAGGAGGAGGAGGAGGAGGAGGAGGAGGAGAAGGAGGAAGCATGAACACGGTAGGAGCAGAAGCAAGAAAGGGAGGATGATGATGATGATGAGGAGGAGGAGGAGGAGGACGTGGGCAACTCGAGTAGCCAGGGCCAGACGATCGAGGTTCGATGTTCCAAAGCTTTAGGTTTTACTCAAACGCTTCCGCCTCACTCTCCTTCGCTCTCCGCTCTCCTTCACTCTTCTGCATTCATACTCGCTCATACTCAGACTCAGTCACACGCAGGCTCACTCGCACTTAAACTCGCTCATATCCATACTGAAACTTACCCACACTCAGATTCACGCTCAGAACCACTCATACTCAGACTCGCTCCTGCTCAGACTCATCATCCTTCGGTCCGCTGAAGCGCAGACCGACTCACACTCAGACTGCCTCACATCCATACCCAATCACACTCGGCTCACTCGCACTCAGATTCATTAACACACACACTTTCTCTCACACTCAGACCCACTCAAGCCCAGACTCACTCATGCTCAGACTCATCATGCTACGATCCGCTGAATCACAGACTGGCTCACATCCAGCTTCGTCCATACTCAGACCCACTCGCACACAGACGCACTCGCGCTCATATTCACTCACACGCATACCCACTCAAACCCAGGCTCAATCGCACCCAGATTTATTCACACTCAGAATCAGTCGCTCTCAGATTTGCTGTTGGTCGCACTCATGCTTGCAGACTGTGGGAATGTCTCGAGCGAGCGGTTCGCCCTCGCACACATGCGCTCATTGACAGATATCAAGAAAAATACGTACCAAGAGAATGAGATGCACATATGGGGAGCCCCGCGTCGAGTAATTCATGATGGAGGAGGCGGCGGAGTAGGAAGAGGAGTAGGAGGAGGAGGAACTGGAGGAGGAGGAGGAGGAGGAAGAGGAGGAGGAAGAGGAGGAGGGGGAGGATGGAGGAGGACGAGCAGGGAGGATCCAGGAGGAGGAGGGAGGATCCAGGAGAAGCGGCAGGACAGGGAGGTCAGAGGGAGGAGGACAGTGGGGGCACGAGGACGAGGACGACGACGACGACGCGGTGGAGGACGAGAAGCCACGCCGAGGCCCTGCGTCTCCCGGCTCCCGGCGCCCCTCGGCCACCGCTGGAGCGCAGGCGCGCGGCACCGCCGGTCCGCTGGGCCCTGCGGCCTCCGGGCCGCCTCGGGCGCCACTGGGCCCGGCGGCGACGGGCTGTGGTCGAGCACCTCTTTCGAGGCCCAGCGGTTTTCGGGCCGGACGAAAGGGGGGGGATTGGGAAAGGGGGGGGTACGAAATTTGCTGCATGCAGCTGGTTTCGGCCTCACCGAGGGGCCCACTCCTCGATACATAGCCGCCTCCGGCGCCGGGAGGCGCCGGGAAAATCAGCTACGCGAGCTGATTCTCAAGCCCCCCCTTTGCTATCCCCCACTCTCGCACGACCCAGCGGTTTCGAAGCGCGCGCGTTTTGGAAATTTTGTGGGGGGGCACTCTCTTCCCCCGCGAGCCGCTCCAAGAGTCACGACGGGCAGTCCCTGGCCACGCTGGGCCCCTCGGGGCCCTCGGCGGGTCTCGGGGCCGTCGGGGAGCGACGCGGGAGAGCGGTTTCGAGGCAACATGGCTGCGTTCGAAGAAGGAAAGCGCCATACACAAAACCTTTTGGCGCTCCGCGCGGACTTCTTGGATCCGCGCTGGGGCCCCCCGGCGGCGCCTCTGGCGCCGCCCCTTACGCGCCGCGCGCCGGGGAGGGGGTCCAGCGCATCCAAGCAATACGCGCGGAGCGCCAAAAGGTTGTCTTTGGGGCGTTCTTTATTCTTCTATGTGTGGGGGGCAAAAGGCTCAGGGGGTGTTGTTTGGGGGGGGGTCTGGGTGGTCGGACGTTTTCCTAGGCTCACGTCAGTTCTATATATATACTAGAACCACGCGCGCGCTTCGCGCGCGCTTAGGTTCTTTCGAGTCACAGACCCAGGAATCGTTGCGAGAAGAAATTGGTGACGCGAAGCGTCTTGGGGGCGTCCTTGGACGTCTGGGGTCTCCTGGGGCCTCTTGAGGGGCCTCCTGGGGGCCTCCTGGCGGCCTCTTGGGGCGGAAGGCTCGAGCTTGCGGTTCGTGGTCCCCCTCTGGGCCCCCTCTTGGGCCCGTCTTGGGGCCCTCTTGGGCCATCTTGGGCGCCTCTTGGGCCGTCTTGGGGCCCTCTTGGGCTGTCCTGGGGCCCTCTGGGAAGCTTCTTGGGCCGTCTTGGGGCGGTCTTGGGCGCCTCTTGGGCCGTCCTGTAACGTCGGAAAACCGAAAAGACAACTTTGTTGAAAATGTACGCTTTACGAAGGGAATGTGCCAATTTTTGCTTCTAGGGGCCCTCTTGGGACGCATGTTTGAGGCTTCTTGGGGCCTCTTGGGGGCGTCCTTGGACGTCTGGGGTCTCCTGGGGCCTCTTGAGGGGCCTCCTGGGGGCCTCCTGGCGGCCTCTTGGGGCGGAAGGCTCGAGCTTGCGGTTCGTGGTCCCCCTCTGGGCCCCCTCTTGGGCCCGTCTTGGGGCCCTCTTGGGCCATCTTGGGCGCCTCTTGGGCCGTCTTGGGGCCCTCTTGGGCTGTCCTGGGGCCCTCTGGGAAGCTTCTTGGGCCGTCTTGGGGCGGTCTTGGGCGCCTCTTGGGCCGTCCTGTAACGTCGGAAAGCCCAAAAGGCGACTTTGTTAAAAATGTACGTTTTACGAAGGGAATGGGCCAATTCTTGCGTCTAGGGGCCCTCTTGGGACGCATGTTGGAGGCTTCTTGGAGCCTCTTGGGGGCGTCCTTGGACGTCTGGGGTCTCCCGGGGCCTCTTGAGGGGCCTCCTGGGGGCCTCCTGGCGGCCTCTTGGGGCGGAAGGCTCGAGCTTGCGGTTCGTGGTCCTCCTCTGGGCCCCCTCTTGGGCCCGTCTTGGGGCCCTCTTGGGCCATCTTGGGCGCCTCTTGGGCCGTCTTGGGGCCCTCTTGGGCTGTCCTGGGGCCCTCTTGGAAGCTTCTTGGGCCGTCTTGGGGCGGTCTTGGGCGCCTCTTGGGCCGTCCTGTAACGTCGGAAAGCCCAAAAGACAACTTTGTTGAAAATGTACGTTTTACGAAGGGAATGGGCCAATTTTTGCGTCTAGGGGCCCTCTTGGGACGCATGTTGGAGGCTTCTTGGGGCCTCTTGGGGGCGTCCTTGGACGTCTGGAGGCCATCTTCAGCATCTCGGAGCCCTCTTGGAGGCCTCTTGGAAGTTTCTTGGGCCGTCTTGGGCGCTTCTTGGGCCGTCTTGTCTGACTGGGGAGGCCTCCGGCAAGCCCCGACGAGCCTCCGGGCCCCCCGGGGTGCACATTTGTGGTCGAGGTCCCGGCCCCGGGCCCCCGGACCCGGTGCGCCGATATATGTATATATTCCCTGGTGGTTTGCGGGGCATAGCTCGGGCCTCCGGTGGATTTTCAAGCTATGTATGACACCTCAGGGACGCCCTCGGCGAGGCGCAGTTGGGGAGCATCCCGAGGATAGGCTCGGAGGGGATGCATCGACCCCCAATCGCCCACTGATCGCCGATAGGGGCCCAACAGCACTCCCCGCCCAGGACCGTGCGTATTCGCTATCGGCGAGGTACCGCAGACTTCAAGTCGATGTCCCCTCTCCTGAGCCAGCCCACCCTATCGTTCCCCTTCAAGCGGGCGGTGCAAGAGGGGTGGCAGGGACCCCAGGGTGCGCCGGCCTTACAGGAGGGCCAGTCGAGACATCGATGTTTTTTGCTGGGTTTCCCTTTTCGGTGTTCGTCCTAACCAGATCCGCTTTGAACAACGGGTCAGGATGGACCCTGGGAGGGGTCCGCGGAGCTGGGCCAGGCGCGATCCTCCGGCTGACCTTCCGGGGGGACCTTGAAGTTTCAGTTTTATGTCGAGGTTTGAGTCGTCCAGTTTGGTCGATAGGTCAGGAGGGCTTTTTTGTTGGCACCCTGGAAGGCCAGCGCACACCACCGCGACAGATGTGTGCCCCATCGGGTCCCCCTCGTGTGCTTGTGCAGTTGTTGGCCTTCCGGAGCTCTGGGGCTCCTGGGGCCGTCAGGGAAGCGAGAGGCTGGTCCTGGAAGGCCCAGGCCCAGGACCCGTGTCCATCGGGACCCCGCCCCTCTCCCAGGGGCTCGTTCCGATTCCTCCGATTCGATTCGTTTCGGCTTCGATGGCTTCCGACTCCGAGTCGATTCGGCTTGGGATTCCGATTTGGGGCTCCGACTTCTCAAAGTGGAGGCATGCTGCCTTGCCGATGTCCGCCGATTCGACTTCTCCCGACTCGGCTGCCGATTCCCGCAGATCCGATTCATCTCCATCGCCCTCTCGCCCCCGCTCCGCTCCGCCGCCGCGGAGGCCCTGGGCGTGCACCCGGCCCTGGTGCAGGCCCTCGCCGCCCAGGCGGGCAGGGCCGCCTGCGACTCGATGCGATGCGGTGCGGTCCGCCGGCCGGGGCCGCCGCGACGCCGCTCCGATGCGATGCGGTCCGCTGTCACCGGGCGTCGGCCGGGGCCAGCCGGAGCCTGGCGCGGCGATTCGATCCCGGTCCGATTCGGGGCGATCCGCTGGCGATCTGGCCAGGTTCCGATCCGGCCCGATCTCTCGAGTCGATCGAGCTCATGCCGCTGCGAGGACATCGCGCGGCCCACGGTGGTGCAGGCGGACTCCTTCGGGCCCATCGTGCGCGGGCGGGACGCCCTCCTCCGCGCGGAGACGGGCTCGGGGAAGACGCTCGCGTACCTGCTGCCGCTGGTCAATCGCATCTACTACCAGCACGACCGCGCACGGGCCGCGGCGGAGGCGGGCGGCGCCGAGGCGAACCCGCTGCAGAGCATGCGGCCCTGGGTGGTGCTGGCTCCCACCAGCGACCTCTGCGCGCAGATCCTAGCCATGCTCGAGGCCGTGGACGTCGACCGCCTGGTGGCGCCCCAGTCGCTGCAGCGCCTCTTCCGCTGGGAGGCGCTGCGGGGGCCGGTCGCCGGGGCCTTCCGTGAGCCGCGGCTAAAGGAGGTCACCAGAGTCGGGCCGTCCTCCCAGAGCTCGGCCGCGTACGCAACGGCATCGCCGCGGATCCGGTGGGGCGCCGTGGACGTCGTGGTGAGCACCCCGTCAAAGTTCTGCGAGGAGCTGCAGCAGATGAAGGAGGACCGCATCTTCCCAGCCTGCGTGGTGATGGACGAGGCCGACGCACTCTTCCAGGGAGTCAACCGTCTCCACCTCTTCGACATCTTCGGTCTGCTGCGGCCGCGCGTGCGGGCGAAGCGCGCGGACGAGCCGCGGCGGCGCCTTCCAGACATGATCCCTACGCAGTTCATCTTCGCTTCGGCGACCATGGTCCACATAGGGCCCTTCAGTCCTGGCAACATGCTAATCGAGCGGTTCTGCACTGCGCACACGGTCGAGACCCCGTATTTCCACCGGTTGCCAGCAGGCATCGACCAAGACAGCGTGCGTTGGCTTACCGGCAGCGACGACTGGGAACGGCGGATCGACCAGTTGCTTGAGATTCTCCGTGATGTGCCTTGTGAGCGAACGTTGGTGTTTGTCAACAGCTTGCATAATTGCCATGTCCTGCTGGGATTCTTAAGGAGCGCTGGGTGGCCCGTGGCGTCCTTCATGAAGGGGCGGCAGGGCCGTATGGGACCGAGGTTCCGGGACGCGCGGGAGTTCGCCGACGGCAGGGCGAGCATCATGCTCGCCACGGAGTTTGGAGGCCGAGGGATCGATTGGCATGAGGTCGACCACGTCGTGAATTTCCAGATGCCGACTAGCGCTGTTGGCTGGCTACATCGTGTGGGTCGGACTGGCCGCATGGGAAAGCGGGGCTTGGTGACCAACCTCGTTGGCATCAAAGACCAGGCGCTCGCGCAGCTGATCCAGGAGCGGCTGCTCGCTGGCAAGGACCTCCACGGTGCCTTCTCGCGGCGCCGGTCGCTGCGCAGGAAGACGCGGGCCCTGGCCCAGGAGGGCGGCGGCGGCGGCGATGACGAGGCACCCACCCCACACCGCTGGGAGGGCGGCTCCATGCGCATGGAGGGCGGTCTGGAGATCTTCGAGCGCGGCCTGACAGGCGGCGGCGCCACTCCAGGCTCCGCCGAGGATGCCAGGGGCAACGTTCGGCGGGGATAGGCTCGGGAGGGGACGCATCGACCCCCAATCGCCCACTCATCGCCGTTTGGGGCCTGATAGCCCAACCCGCCCAGGAACGTCAGGTTTCGCTGTCGCCCTAACGTTGCCCCTCAGGATGCCCAGGCGCACCAGGGCGCTGACAGCGGCGGCACTCTCCTAGGCTACCTCAGCTCTCCCGAGGCCGAAGACGACCAGCCGGTAGGCCGGCGGCAGCGGCAGGTCGCGGCGGTCAGTGGCAGGCAGCGCGAGGCTGGCGACCGGCGCGGGGGCGCATCGGCGCTCGGCGAGGGCGGGCCGGAGGGCGCCGACGGCGCGCTGGCGGACCTGCGCGCGAGGCTGTTGGACTCCGACTCCGAGTCCGAGGGCTCTGGCGCGGAGGCGGCAGCGCCCCCCTCGCCGCAGCACGTAGCTTCCACACTGCAGCTTGCCCCGCAGAGCTTGCACCACACAGCTTGCACCACGTAGCTCGAACCACATACGTATCTCTTGGGCCGTCTTGGAGCCCTCGTGAGCCGATTTGGGGCTCTGTTGAAGGCCTCCTGGGCCGTCTTGGATCGATATGGGGGGCCTCGTGGGCTGCCTTTGAGCGTCCTTGGAACTTCAAAATCAAAAATCCTTCAGAAACCTTCTGTAGATTTCAGCTGTTGGGCCCCTCTTGAGACTGGTCTTTTTTTCGTCAGCTGGGGGCGTCTTACAAGCTTGCAGCTTACCATTTAGCTTACAGCTTACAGCCCATCTTACATCATGGCTGCTCGTGTGTCTCTAGATTTGGAAGCAGAGTTGGAACAAGTCCCGGCGCCCCCGCCTACATCAAAGCATACTCGTGCGGCCGGCACCCCCGCCAAGGACGTCCTGCAAAACCCGTGAGGGGAGGATGAACGCGGAGAAGATGGTGCGTACCGGGCATGTTCCAAATTCCCCCTTCGCCCCATTTCTTGGAGACGTGAGCGCACAGCATGAAGGGGAGGGCAGCGCAGGATAACCTCATGCCCGTGAGAATAAACACTAGGGGATAATAAAGTTCGGGGTTCAGGGGGAGATAATAAAAGTAGCCATGTTTCGCTTCAGACATCCTTGAATCATTGCTCGTTTCGTTTGAGTCTGCCTCCCAAAATTATTGGTTTCGCTTAACACATTCTGAAAAAGTGTGATCGCTTCGCTTGATGTTGCTATATCAACATCGCTTGATGTTGCTATCTCAACATCGCGTTTCGAGGTGATAATGAAGTTCGGCCTCAGCGCTCGCCGCCCAATTTGAATTTTGTATAGGGCGACGATAATCAACTCTAAACACTGAAGGGGGGGGGTCCCTTTATTATCATCGGCATGCGGTTACGTCCGCATGGCAGCAGAGGAGGAGGAGGGCGACGACGACGACGAAGAGTTCATTCAGGAGACGCCCCAGGGGGAACACGTCACCATGTAGGGAATCGCGAACCTCCTGAAAGAACAGCTCGGCCCATGACCACTGCGGTGGACGGCCTCCGCAGCGATTTCCCCAAGCTGAACGTACGCCTGGGCCAGATGGACCAGCGCCTGAACATGCGCGACGTGCGGATTGGTGAGCTCGAAAGCATCTGCACGTCCATTGAGCAGAAGGCGTTTCCAACCATGGACTTCGTGGAGGCCAAGATCCGCGAGAGCATCAAGTAGTTCATGACGAAGAAGGGGGGGGGAACGCTGGCGGCAAGGTGCGCCCCACCTCCGAGGTCGTGGACAAGCGGGCCGTGAGCATGGTGATTGGAAACTTGAATGCGCTGGAGTCTCTCGAGAAGGCCTCAGCGTGGCTGAGGGACAAGCTCGCCGCTATGGGCGGGCCACCGCCAAATAATATCTTTGCCAAACCGGACTTCATGGGCATCTTGTTCGCGGAGTTCGGGAACCCATCCGTTCGACACGTCGCCGTTGATTTCCTACGACATGCCAGCCTCACGAGCGGGGCGAAGAACGTCCTGGGCTAGCTAGGACCGCTCCCCAGCGGACCGGGCGGCCCGTAATTTCTGTTTGGGCTTCAAGCGGGTGTTAAAAGATGAGCGGCAGGTGCAGTACCGCGTCTCCGTTGACGGCGATTTCCCCTACGTCGTGACTGTCGGACTCGAGCGCACCCTTACAGCCAGGGTGGAAGGATACGACGTCGCGTACGAGTGGCAGGGGGTTTGGGCTACGGGGGACGCCTTGCATAACAACCCCCACATCCAGGAGCTGAGCGAGAAGTCGCGTGAGCTCCTGGCCCGAGCGTCGATGGGCATGGAGGAAACGCCGGGAAGGGGATGCAAAAAGGCGCTGGGAGGCGCCCGGGCGACGGGGAACAGCTTCCGGATTTGTTTCGCCGGCAGTCGGCCCTACTGCCACGATGAACACAAATCGGTTAAGAAGTCAGTCCGCAACTTCGGTGACCACATGTACAGACCCACGCACGCAATCCTCTCGCAGTGGCTGTGGGCACCCTGGCATCCGAGGTGGGCCGCGCGGCACTGCATCCATGCACCATCGCAGAGATCGCGATTGCATAGCTGGGGCAGGGCGTCGAGACCCAGATTTTCGAGGAGGAAGTTTAAACCTACTCGAAACAATTTTGTTTTTGGCTCGCGGAACGTTGAGGGCCTGACGGAGGCCAAGCTGGAGGAGCTGCAGATTCACATGGAGTCGCTGCACATCGACGTGCTCGCGCTCCAGGAGACGCACAAATACGACTCTATCTATTACACTGCTGAGCGTGGATTCCTGGTGATTTTGTCTGGGGGCCCAGACGACGAGACTGCTGGAGTTGACTTTCTTGTGTTTCCGAGAACACGGAAGAGTCCAATTGCGTTCAATCTGATGTCTTCTAGGGTCACGCGCGTCAGGGGAGGGGAGGTCCCAATCTTCAGCGCGCGTGCCCCCCACAGCGGGAAACTTGCGGAGGACCGCAGAGAGTTTTACCGAGAGCTGGGCGCGATACTTTCCAGATGCCCAGGGCGCTGCCGGGCTTTGTTGTCGGGGGATTTCAGCGCGGGGATACACCGACGCGTCGCTTTGGGACGCGGCTACGTTGGCAATTGCGTTTTTGGCGAGCCCACTGCGCACTTCAACGCAGATTCAAACGGGAGCTTCTTACTTGAACCCTGTGTCAGCCACCGGCTCGCCGTCGCAGGCGCGTCTTTCGAGCGCTACCCGAACCGCCGGGTGGCGCGCTGCAACGTCGGCCCGCGCCCTTCCGACCCGCTGCTGCCGCGGCACTTCGGGCAGATCGGTTTCTTTCTACGCCCGGTTCCTCTTCCGCAAAGCGTGGTGGACGTGGAGCGCCGCAGCGAAGCAGTTCTATCGTCGCACCATTTTCTGGTTCTTTGCAAGCTTGGGGTTTTCATGGCAGGAAGCGCGAGGCCAGGGGGCCGTGTCTAGACGCAACAGCCTTGGCCGGAATTTCCGCGCCAGCTTCGCCCGGCACCTGCTGGAAAACAGCGCGCCGAAGGAAAAAATAAAATAAAAATAATATTTATATATATATATGTATATATATATATATATATATATAAACTCCCCGAACTAGCTCGACAACGACGTCGCAGTGGCCATCCGGCACGCTGCCGCAGGCTGTCTGCCTGCGCTCCCGGCCGCGCGGCGGCGACCCTGGATCAGCGACGGGGCGTCGCAGCTCATATCATCCCGCGGCGAGGCGAGGGCTATTGGGATTTCGCGTGCAAGAAGGTACTGAGTTGACGGATCAAGGCGTCTGTCAAAGCAGATCGAACAGTTTGGCTCGACAGTCGACTGGCCGACGGCGACTGGATTCAGGTGAGAAAACAGAAGACAGATACTGCCGCAGCCCAGGGTGGGTGAAGAATGCCAACGACCAGCTTGTGGACAGCAGCCAGAGAGCTGAGACTTTGGCGGAGTATTTCTCCAAGGTGCAGTGGGCGGCGCGCCCGACAACGGTTGCGAACAACCTCGACAATTCGGGCCCCTTCCCAGAGGTTTTTTTTTTTCAGAAAAACTGAAACCAAAAAAAACTAAAAACGAAACTGAAAATAATTTCAAAAGTTTCGAATAGTTTCAATTAGTTTCAATAGTTTCAGTTTTAGCTGATTTCTCATAGTTGTACAACGACATACAACAACATATGGTTTTCAATACTTGTGATACGTCCCTGAGCATAAAATCAACTAACGGCTAGTATACGATAGCGACTTGCCCGCGACTTGCCCGCGACATGTCTGCGATTTCGTCTCGGCACGCCTGCCGTTTGCCCGCGTCGCGGGCGGTGGGTGTTCATGTATCACAATGTTTTCAGCATTCTGCGCCTCCGCGCTCGCAGCCATCGGGGCGCGAGCATTTGGCGTGCTCGCAGTGAGTTTTCAGAGCGCCCAGCCCCAGACGATGGCGCCGCCATTGACGCTGAGGGCTTCCGAGGTGCGCTCCGCCGCGAGGGCCGCGGCGGCTGCAGCGGAGGCTCAGGAGAGGTGTTAAGAAGATGAGGGTGTTTCTCCGTGTCCTCTTTCTTCCCTGCCTTCTTCTTCTCCTTCTGCCTCCTTATTCCTTTTCTTCCTCCTCCTCCCCCTCCTCCTCCTGTTCATCCTCCTCCTCTCCGTCCTCTGGTGCCATCTCACCAACTAGTAACTGGACTTCTGTTCGGCGCCCCTCGGAGGCCCTCGGAACACTGGTCCGCTTTCAACCTAGCTGCCATCCCACAGTTGGCGATTTCTGGACACCCCCCCTCCCAGAAGGCCTCGACGATGCCAGACACGTGGCCCGAGGACCGACAGCGGACTGGCATGGACGATTCGTTGCCCATCGATGCCGCGAGGGAGCCGCTGCCGATCGAGGTCGAGGACTCCCCGAAGACGTTGGCCGAGCCCTCGCAGCCCCCGCAGCCCGTCGAGGAGACCCCCGCCACGCAGCCCCTCGGGGACAACGACGACGAGGCTCAGGCGGGCCGCGTCCGACCTCCCTCTCCTACCCGGTGTGGACCCAATGAGGCCCCAATGAGGACCCAATGAGACCCACTGAGGACCAGGACCCAATGAGGACCCAATGAGGACCCAATGAGGACCCAATGAGGACCAGGACCCAATGAGGACCCAATGAGGACCCAATGAGGACCCAATGAGGACCCAATGAGGACCCAATGAGGACCCAATGAGGACCCAATGAGGGCCCAATGAGGACCCAATGAGGGCCCAATGAGGACCCAATGAGGACCCAATGAGGACCAGGACCCCCAATGAGGACCCAATGAGGACCAGGACCCAATGAGGACCCAATGAGGACCCAATGAGGACCCAATGAGGGCCCAATGAGGACCCAATGAGGACCCGATGAGGACCCAATGAGGGCCCAATGAGGACCCAATGAGGACCCAATTAGGACCCAATGAGGACCCAATGAGGACCCAATGAGGACCCAATGAGAACCCAATGAGGACCCAATGAGGACCAGGACCCAATGAGGACCCAAATGAGGACCCAATGAGGGCCCAATGAGGACCCAATGAGACCCAATGAGGACCCAATGAGGGCCCAATGAGAATGAGGAATGAGGGCCCAATGAGGACCCAATATGAGGACCCAATGAGGACCAGGACCCAATGAGGGCCCAATGTAAACCAATGAGGACCCAATGAGGACCAGGACCCAATGAGGGCCCAATGTGGACCCAATGAGGACCAGGACCCAATGAGAACCCAATGAGGACCCAATGAGGACCCAATGAGGGCCCAATGAGGACCCAATGAGGACCAAATGAGGACCCAATGAGGGCCAAATGAGGACCCAATGAGGACCCAATGAGGACCAGGACCCAATGAGGGCCCAATGCGGACCCAATGAGGACCAGGACCCAATGAGGGCCCAACGAGGGCACAATGAGGGCCCAATGAGAGCCAATGAGGACCCAATGAGGGCCCAAATATCACTTACGTCGGCCACCGTCGGAACCAATTTCACCGTAGACCATTTTGGTCCAAGCAAGCTGACATCCGAAATAGCTCGGATGTCGTCGCTTGCGAGCGAGGCGCCATCCACAACAGCTGAGCATGTGGCGGCTGCGCTCAAACCATTCGTGACGACGGCAACCTTCTTGACTTACTCGAGGGACGGCGGCGTGCGGAAGCAGAAGATCCAGGCGAATCAGAAGATGATTCGAGCGCTGCTGGAGGCATCCTCGTCCTCCTCTCATCACCTCCCCTCCCTCCCCCCTCCTCAACCCCCCTGTCCTCCCCTTCATCCCTTGCGCCTAGTCCTACATACCTCCACATTATTATTCTCCTCCTCGTCCTCCCGCCCTCCCTCTTCTATCTCTCCACCTCCTCTTCCCCTCGCCCTCTCCCGTCGCCCCCTGCCTCTCCTCGATCCCTCATGTTTTTTTTTTTTCAGGCGGAGACGAGTGGCACGATCTCGAAGCCCGACATGGTCTCGGCGCTGAAGTCGATAGTGACATCGCCGTCGGCACCTTTTGAGTTCTCGAAGAGAAAGGAAATGTCTGACTGGGCGCAGGAGATGCAGGGCAGGGTGCGGCACATGCTACGACACGTTCAGCAGTACCGCGCGCGCGACAACGGCGGCCCGAAGTGGTTCAGAGCCCTCAACTTTCCTGCGAAGCAGGTCGGCGATGAGGAGCTCGACGAGCCCGCAGATGGCGGGGAGGACGAAGAAGGCGAAGAGGAGGAATGTGATGAAGACGGCGAGGAGGAAGAGTGCCATGAGGAAGATGAGGAAGAACACGGCGCAGAAGAAGATGAGGAGGAGGAGGAGGTTTGCGCGGAGACCCAGCTCAAGAAGAGGCCGTCGTCTCTGATGAAGCGACCTGGAGTGAGCGCAGCTTCGCTCGGCGAGTTCACCTTCCACTACGACAACGAGTGCCGCTTGGCGTATCGACAGGCGTTGGGCTGCAAGAAGAGCGACTACCCCGATTACTGCAAGGAGATGGTCCCAGGGACGTCGCCAACCGACCCCATGGTGGCACTCTGGCAGGACGGTACGATGTGGGAAGTGCCGGAGACAGTGACGTCCACGTACCAGGCGGTGAGCAGCGCTGCGACGGCGGGCCCGAGCCAGAGCCAGAAGTATCTCGCGGAGTACTGCTTCAGCGGCAAGAACAAGGATGGCGAGACGGTGTCGGTGCGGCTTCGCTGGAACCAGCCTCCAGGCAAGCCCAGGGAGCGCCTCGTCTGCATCGCGTGGCAGGGCCAGCCGCAGGTGTGCCAGATCAACGTGGAGGCGTTCGACGAGAAGGACCTCGTCAGCAAGGAGATCGCGGCGTGCAAGTGGTGCTCAGCTCTCGCCGAGAAGCTCGCCAAGGGCGACATCGACAAGAATGGGGTCTTGAAGGAGAAGGCGGTGAAGACCAAGATCTGGATGGAGTCCATCAGGCGCCAGGCTGCTGACCTTCGTCGCAAGCGCCCAGCAGCAGCTGCCGCTCCTGCCGCTCCCGCGGCCAAGCGCCCAGCCTGCGCGACGCCATCGCCAGCGGCGTCGTCAGCGGCGTCGTCAGCGGCGCCATCAGCTCCACCAGCAGCGCCATCAGCTCCACCAGCAGCGCCATCAGCTGCACCAGCGCCGTCGCCTGAGCACCCGAGCACGCCGAAGAAGAAGAACAAGATGCAGGCGGCCGAGGCGGACTTCCCGACCATCGCGCCGCCGTCCGACTCCAGCTAATGGTCAACGAGGTAGCGAAAATATCATCATCATAATCATCATCATCATCATCATCAGCATCATCATACTCATACTCATACTCATCATCATACTCATCATCATCATCATCATCATCAGCATCATCATCATTATCATTACCACCAACCTTATCATCGTCATCATCATCATCATCATCATCATCATCACCAGCATTATCATCATCATCATCATCGTCATCATCATCCCATCGATCCTTATCGTCGGCCCATGGTGCACCCAGGAGTTCCAGGAAGGCCACTCAAGGCCTGGGCCGAACAGTGTCAGCGATCAGCCTGGACTTCTCCTCCTCCATCTCCGCTTCCTTCCTCCTCCTCCTCCTCCTCCTCCTCCTCTTCCTCCTCCCCCTCCTCCTCCTCCTCCTCCATCCCCATTCCCCTCCCTTATAGAAACGCACTGGACAGGCGGTGAAACTGCGGGTAGATCGCGGGTAAACCCTCGGAAACAGGGCGGGTAAATCGAGAGTACACCGCAGGTAAATCGAAGGTCAATCGCGGGTAAATCGAGGGTAAATCGCGGGTAAATCGCGGGTAAATCGCGGGTAAATCGCAGGTAAATCGCGGGTAAATCGCGGGTAAATCGCGATTTCGCCTGAGACATCCTCACAAAACTGAGGCCGGTAAATGGAGGTGGAAGGAGGTGGGAGGGAGGAGGAGGGGAGGATGAGGGCGAGGGGGAGGAGGAGGAGGAGGAGGAGGAGGAGGAGGAGGAGGAGGAGGAGGAGGAGGAGGAGGAGGAGGAGGAGGAGGAGGAGGAGGAGGAGGGAGGAGGAGGAGGAGGAGGAGGAGGAGGAGGAGGAGGAGGGGGGGGGAGGAGGAGGAGGAGGAGGAGGAGGAGGAGGAGGAGGAGGAGGAGGAGGAGGAGGAGGAGGAGGAGGAGGAGGAGGAGGAGGAGGAGGAGGGTGAGGATGCTGAGGACTCGAGGTGACCCCCCCGAGCTTTTCTCTCACCCATGTTGCTCACGCCCCGCCGCCCATCTCGCGCGAGGCGGAGCTGCTCGACCAGGTCGCCGAGGCGGCCGGGGAGATCGGCTCGAGCTCCGACGTTAAGGATTGGCCACCCTCCGACCCCCCTCCTCTCCTCCATATTTCTCGTTGTCTTTCTGTCGCCGATCGCAGGGCGAGCGTGCGACGGCGTACCAGAGCTACGAGGATGAGTTCGTCGCCATGCTCACCAAGATGCAGGCCGACATCCCCGTGGCAGACTCCACTGAGAACAAGGAGCTCAGCGCGGCTGAGCAGGCGGAGCTCGATAAGGAGTACGACGAGACGCTCGAGGTCTGGGCTGCCGAGGGCTTCCCGAAGGTCGCGTCCGACTCCAGGCTCGGCAAGCGGTTCGCCAGGATGCTGAAGCACTACGTCGAGAAGAAGGCAGCCCACCACAAGAAGAGCGACGACGACAAGGCCGCGGAGCGCCGCGACTGGTGCTCAAAGGAGTACGAGGAGTACCAGGCCCATCCACCAAAACATGATAACACACATACCCGAACAACTAACAATTAAACTAAATTAGGAGTACCAGTCCCCATGCCAATTGAATGCGTGGAACAATCAAAGACTAAAAACATGCACGGCACACATGAAACAACTGCAGCAACATCATGTGTGATATGTTCGAGCCGCCAGGCGAGCAGGCAGAGGATCTCTGACAAGTACAAGACAGAGAGGCGCCTCGGGAAGTGGCACAACTTCGACTCCTTGGTGTCGGCCGAGAGCGGAGGTGCCGCGTTCCCATCCCAGGCGTGCATCAGGGGCGCGGTGAACATCGCCAAGGAGTGCATCAGGCACCACCGCTCTCGGACCAGAATCAACCCTGACTCGTTGCGCCTTGAGTTCAAGCGCTTCGAGGACGTCGAAGAGAAGGGCAACACTACGACTCACCGCCAGCAGGAGCAGGAGACGGGCCCGCTTGCGACCAGGTCTTCGGGCGCAGCAGCCAGCAGCTCGGAGGCGACGCCAGCGGGGACGCAGCTGACAGACATCGAGGGCGGCGCGAACGAGACTCCGTTGAAGGTGCCAGCGCCGAAGGCGGCCGCAGCGGCATCGCCGCCCACGAAGCAGAAGGGCAAGGGCTCCACCATGTGCAAGGGCAAGGGCAAGGGCTCCAAGGAGAAGCAGAAGGGCAGGGGCGCCCAGCGCGGCGGCATGCGCAAGGTTCACAACCCGACGCAGCTGGCCAGGAAGGTCAAGGAAGTCAGCAACAAGTACAGCCAGGTCACTGGCAGGGCGAACAACCTGGTCGACCTGATCGACGGCAACCTCGCGAACCCTTCCGAGCCCCACGAGTGGACTTGGGCGCGCAGTGACCGATTTGGCGGGAAGCTCAAGCGCGCCATCGAGCGCGTTGAGGGGCACTTGCCGCAGTCGGGCCAACTGCACTACGTCTTCAAGCTCGGCGGAGACCTGGACTACGACAACATCGACATTCACGCCGTGTCGGCGGAGCTCGATGAGATCAACGACTCCCTCGATAACGCGTTCGCCATCGCGAAGAAGATCCGCAGCATCGCCGAGGAGGAGCAGCCGTCTCAGTAAAGACGGGTGATTGCTTGAGCCTCCTCACAATTGTCTTCCTCCTTCTCATCCTGTGCCTCCGTTTGTTTACATTATGTTCAACTTGCCCCTGCCCCCTCCTAGCCATCCAATATCATGTATATATCTCCTCCACCCTTCTTCCAACTATCCTCCTCTACTTTTCAACTCCCCCAGCATCCCTCCCCTGGAGGCCTGCATCTAAGCTTGCTGATTTCTTGGCTTCTGGGCTCTCGCAAGTTTCAAATCAACAACGATTGTTTGCTGCGATGGGAGTCGCAGCGCTGCCGCGAGATCGATTCAACACGAGCAAAGCAAGCACGATAGCATGACAGCAGCACAGGCACGAGGCAGCTCGAGCTAGTTGGATTTTGATCTCGCAAGGTCACTCGTGCACGCTGGCTGGCATAGGGTTTGCTGCGGCAGCGAGGCACGCCTGAGACATTGTAGGGGAGTGCGAGCTTGCTCTGAAGTAAACACAATGAAGTGGGGTACTTCTCAGGAAAAAACGACTAGGTCACTCTGACGCTTCGATCCAAAGCTATCCGAGAGGCGCCAGACCGCAGCATGGCACAGTCTGCAATGCTGTTTTTCTCGTCCTGGGGCTCGGAGGGGGCCTTCGACGGGCGGCGGATGCGCGCGGAAGCGTAGCGGGCGTCGGCGGAAGAAAAAATATCTGGCAGGGCACCCTCGGGAAAAGAGCGGTGGGAGGGCGGGGAAAGGGCGGGTAAATCGAGGGTAAATCGCGGGTAAAGGCCGGGTAAAGGCCGGGTAAATGGCGATTTCGCCTGATACATCCTCACAAAACTGAGGCGGGCAAAGGCCGGGTAAATGCCGGTAAAATGCCGGGTAAATGCCGGGTAAATCCAAGGTAAATCCAGGAAGGGTTTCTGTTCGCGTTCTTGGCATCAATTTTGGTTGGATTTCAGTCTGGAACTGTTTCGCTAGCATCCGCCAGGATATGTATCGCACGGTTTTCCTTCTCGAAGGCCCCTCCTCCACTCGGATGCTGATCGGAAGCACTGCTAGACAGCATTGCAGCGCGTCAAGATCTTTGCATCGACTGCCACTGTTCTATTTGTGAGAGCTCTGACGGCAGCGCCACGAGACAGGGCCCGCTGCGCCTTGTCATGATGATGAATGTTGGATTCAGGACGATCGCTGCGCAGTTCCGAAGGCACATCAAAGTGTCAAAAACACAAAAAATAATCGAAGCCACGAGAGCCCCTGAAGCAACCACATCCCATGCCAAACCATGCATGCCAACGTGCCCTCAAAAACTGTAGTAGCGAATCAAACTATAATGCGAGAGCTATCAATATGTGGCGCAACCCATGGCGCAACGCGCGTACTTGGTGAGACCGCATGTAGACAGCCTAGTTCGTGGTGCAATATATGCGGTGCAACACTTGGGTGGCGCATGTAACAAGCAAAGAGCAATCGAGGAAAGAGCAAACAAAGGAAGGGGAGCAAGCGCGCAAAGCAAAGAGCAAGCAAAGCAAAGAGCAAGCAAAGCAAAGAGCAAGCTCAGCAAAGAGCAAGCAAAGCAAAGAGGAAGCAAAGCAAAGAGCAAGCAAAGAGGGTGTGAACATAACTGAAGCACTGCACAACATTAACAATCATCCGAGCCCATTTTGGCTCCAATTCGTTGCTCTTGTTTTGGTCGATGCCTGCTAAACGCAAGCGTCGCCAGATTAGCTCTGACTCGTCATCCCCAGTCATTCGGCGCAGTTGGGAAGCCCGACCCGATGATGATGCGCGCTTAGCGGCGGCTAAGAAGCTGGAGGAACATCTGCTGTTGTTGTATGCCACGGCGGTCCTATCGGCAAAAGATTTCTGCTTGCTGGCGCATTATGCCGTCCAGGCAGGCGTCGAGAACGATTCCCTTTCCAAGTATTCCTATCCGCCAGGGCGGCAGACGGGAAAATATATGAATCATCTGAAGCAAGTCCTACCAGAACGTTCGGAGTCCCCAGAGCTGCTTTCGGTGAGATTGCCCATATGGGAAAAAACAAACGGAGTTTCAAGGACGTGCGGATGGCGCCCCCACACGAGCTGCTGAGCGCCGAGATCGAACAGATGGCAGAACCACCTGCTCCACCTCAGGCTGGAGCATCAGATTGGCTCCGAAGTTTTGAGGAGCACCCTAGACGATTGAAGCTAGGAGACTCTCTGCCGTGCTTCCCAGTAGCTCTGTATCTGGACGGCGCGAAGTTCACGCGGGCCATCGGGCCCAGAGCAGACTCACTGATCAATTTCACTGCCAACAACCTCGTTACAAAAAAAACGGCATGTGATCGCGGTCCTCTCGAAGCGAGAGCTCTGCAAATGCGGCTGTCGCGGCTGGTGCACGCTCTGGCCCGTGTACAATTTTTTTCGTTGGAGCTTCTCTTCGGCAGCGACTGGCGATCGCCCTGCTACCAGGCTGCGGTTGCGCCCAACGCCCTGGGTCATGACCGCCTCCTGGCCGCATTCGCCCCCGCCTTCACTTCCTCCCCTCGCCAAAACCACTCAAACGGGGCGGTGGTGGCGGGGAAGATGTGCAGCGTCGGGGGCGGCGGGTGGGCGGGCTGGAGATGGCAGCGGCGTTGGGCGCAGCTCAGCAATTCCAGGTGGGACGGCTCCGAGTTCCCTGGCGATTCCACCAGCGCAGAGCTTCTGGCCACACGGCCGCGGCTTTCTGCAAGATTTGCGCTCTGCCAGATTAAGGGCGACTGGGAAGCGTTTTGTAACCTGATGGGGCTGCCAACCTGGAGTTCGGTTTGGAGGCCATGTTTATTTTGCCCTTGCAAGAAGAATCGCTTATACACGTTCGAGAACGTGTCTCTAGGTGCGCAGCCTTGGGGCGTTGACAAAACTTCATACGACGAGGCCTGCAGCGAACTCGAGGTGTTGGTCGATGTAGCAGATGAACAGACCAGGCGGGACATTCTGAACATTGGACTGCTCCACTTCGACACTCGCAAAAAGAAAATGGGTATGATCTTGCAGCAAGACGTTGGCCACCTTGGCCTGAAAAAATTTGATCGGCTTGACCCAAGCGTTGGCCTTTCTGATGCAGGGCGATTCCAATGCCAGGAACTACCGTTCATTGCAACCTTCTGGCGGGCATCAAAAGACAAAAAAGGCAGGGTGACAGATCGTGTGCTGCGTCGAAACCCGTTGTGGTGTGACGAGTTGGGAATCACTCCCGCAACTAGCCTGCACATAGACACGCTTCATACGTTGCACCTGGGCGTGGTCGCATTATACGTTCACACGGCGTTGTGGGCAGCGCTCAGATCATCATTGTGGGGGCAAGAAAGCTCGTCGAAGGAGGTTCAGATTGACAAAGGTCTCAAGCGTTTGTTCTCCGACTACAAGAGGTGGTGCAGCACGAACGAGGTTCCATTATCATACCAGTTCGGGGCTCTCACCAGGACTATGATTGGAGAGCTAGACAGTTTCAAATTGAAAACGAAAGCAGCAGAGACAGGGGTCATGCTCAAGTGGGCACATTCGTTTTGCATGTCTCACCGAGAGTCCTTGCTGAAAGGAGATGTTCTCGCAGCGGCTGGCGCCAGCCTTGTAGAGTATATGGCCACGCTGCGGGAACAGCCAGACGCCATTCCGAGGGACAAATGCCAGCGTCTGTTGGACTTGTGCGTGAGACACCTCACGCTCATGGGGATGACCGACGCGAGGTACATCCCGAAGTGTCACTTGTTTGTTCATTTGTCACTTCGAATCGGCTATTGTGGCAACCCTCGGTCATACTCCACTTTCGTGGACGAGGGGCTTAATCTCGTCCTTGCCCGCGTGGCTGCTGCCGCGCATCGCTCCACGTGGGAGCGTACCATTTTTTGCAGGCTGCGCATCCTGCCTCACGTGCAGCCGTCCTCGGCATTCGCTGCGATCTAATCAACACCATCATCAACAACCACCATCATCTACGAGAAAAGAGGAATGGATCCAGGCATCTATATACCCACATGTATATATGTGTATGTGTAGTCGTTTAATGATATATATATGTATGTATGTATGTATGCATGCATGTATGTATGTATGTATGAATGCATGTATGTATGTATGTATGTATGTATGTATGTATGTATGTATGGTTGTATGTATGTATGCATGGATGGATGTATGTATGTATGTATGTATGCATATATTTATATAGATATGTGTACATATATATATATATACATATATATATGTTTATATACGTATATGTGTATAGATCTGAGATCCTCAACGCAATTGTTCGAGTCACGCCCGCTGTGGAGGCCACCGTTCGCACCGCCTTTGATGCCAATTTTTACATTTTACCGTTACACTGTGGGCCACCTCCCCCTCACATGTCCATCCCCCCTCCCCTTCCCCTATTCCCCTCACCTTCCCCTCCTAATGCTCCATTGCCCCTCTGGTTCCGTTCCGCGTGGGCATGCGCTCGCGGTTCCGCTATCACGTGCACTCGAGACCGCGCGCCCTCTCCAACTTATTTTTGTCTTGGAACATGGCCGCGGCGCGCAGCCGCGGGCAGCGCCCCAGCAGCACCGACGTGCACCACTTTGAATCTGATTGGCAGGACCCCGAAACAGAGAGAGTAGGAGGAGGGGGAAGAGGAGGAGGAAGAGGAGAAGGGCGAGGAGGAGGAGGAGGAGGAGACGGAGGAGGAGGAGGAGGAGGAGGAGGAGGAGGAGGAGGAGGAGGCGGGAGAGGAGGAGGGGGAGGGGGGGAGGCGGAGGAGGACGAGGAGGACGAGGAGGAGGAGGAGGAGGAGGAGGAGGAGGAGGAGGAGGAGGAGGAGGAGGAGGAGGAGGAGGAGGAGGAGGAGGAGGAGGAGGAGGAGGGGGGGGAGGAGGAGGAGGAGGAGGGGGAGGAAGAGGAGGAGGAGGAGGAGGAGGGGGAGGAGGAGGAGGAGGAGGAGGAGGGGAGGTCCAGCCTGGTCGCTGTCACTGTTCGGGCCTAGAGTGCCCGTCCTGGAACTCCTGGGG